GGGGGGGGGGACGTCCGTCTAGTTCTCATCCAGACCAATCTGTTGCCGGAAGTCAAACTTATATGAGCTATCTGTGTTGCATATGCGGTAAAACTAACAAAAACAACGCTAAACTTAAAGTAATAACCACAACTTACCTTTCTGCTCCGAGTCAGTGACTTGTTTGTGCAGTCCTCCATTCTCCGTCAGATTACTCTCCGCATCTCCTACTATTTGTGTCACTCCATTTTCTGCCCCTCTGTGTTTCATTCCCATCTCTCCCCCTCTCTGCGTCATCCCCATCTCTCCTCCACCTCTCCTTACTGCAGGGAGAGATTCAAATGATGAATCAGAGTCACTCAAATGTGCACCCTCTATCAACGGCCTCTCATCCATATAAGCACACAGTTTGGTTTATTCCTAGTTTATAACATTAGCCAACAGCGGTTGGTCGACAGGTGCCACTGATATGTCCTATTTCTTTTTTTCCGTGCTTCTGGTGTTTCTGTCTGTCTGTCTGACTAACTTTTCCCTGCACCAAACGACTGCTATACTGCCGATGTGCTTCTCTTTACTCAAACAGTCAAACAAACATAACACCTGCAGTCCCGTATGTATCAACTGTCTACCATTCAGAAACACATCGTAAGTTTATTCCCAGTGTATTAACAATAACATCTGCTGTGACTTCTTTACATTATGCACTTGGAGGATTTCAAATTTATCATGTCTTTGGAAAGAGTGAAGTCCTCGCAGAAACAGTGCACGTAGTCTGGCGTCGTCCACAGACCTGGCGACATTTCCCAACCCTCCGCTCTATGCACCATCAATGCTTGTGAACGTGCTTGGAATAGCAAATGAGTTGGCGCTCATACAAACATGTGATCATCTGAGGAAAGTAAAATAAGAATAAAAGTGAGACAAACTAAGTGAGATCAATCTAGATATTAGCACAAACTAGTTTAATAATATTATATCGGAATCACTTTTTTTAATAGATTTTTTTTTGGGGGGGGGGGTATTTTTGGGTTTGTTTGGGGTGTTTTTGGCTGTGGTTTTGTTTTTTATTATTGTGATCTTTTTTAAAGTTAACAGGCGGGTTTATAGATCTACTTGTAAATGTTTTAAGCCCGCTTCGACAACCACAGAACAGACCGTCAGCATCTGCTGTAGAAGCTCATCAAGGCGCCAGTTCGTAAACCAAACCAGAACTGTTTAATACTCACTCACAACCACTCTTATAAGCTCACGGGAGCGAAGTAGTCCCGTTAAGTTGTTAACACATTAGAGCGTACACAAGTGTTACATCACTAAGTCACTTCGCTACCTTTCTTGTCTGGACCATCCTGGGTTGAAAAGGATACAACATCCCAACAGACAGACGGTGATAGTCGATAAAATAGACGTTCCCAAGTTAGAAAATCAAAAAATATATTGACACTTTGTTAAGTACTCGAGAGTACAGGTTGTCGACAGAGGCAAATTCTGTACACTCACACGGTAGATGAGAAGAACCTCAGACACTTTTCTGGTCTTCTTGTTTTGGGTTCAGCTCCTAGATCTCAGGGGTGGTCGACTGCTAGTTTATTCAACGCGCTGTGCAACTGATTATGACGTACATGACCCTTTTTTTCCTACTTCATACGACCCCTTGCCTTCAAGTTCAAGACAGCCACATTCAGATTTCGAAGGTACTCTAAATGTTTATACTGACAAGAGCATTTATTTCATTTTTGGGTGGAATTTCATTCTTAATGTTGCCCAAGTGGCGGCCAAAGTTTTAGGACCACCAAGGGAACTTGCAACTTGTACACGGGACTTCCAAGATTTTTCGCCAGTATCCATGAACGCTAGGTGTTTGATCTTATTTACTCTATAATTAGGATGTGTCGAAAGACAGCTGTAAGAAGGAGTCAAGAGTCGCAGTAGAAAGATTCGGGAGAAAAAGAGAGGGGCAGAGTAAAAGAGAGGGACAGAGAAGTGCCCAGGGGTGATAGAGAGGAAAGAAAAGCAGATGACAGGACAGGATTAGATTACAGGAAAGGAGGACAAAGCAGAAAATTAATTAAGAGAAGACGGACTGGGGTTTTTTTGTGATAATGTTAGTTGAAATCTTATAAACTTAGTTAACGATAGCTAATGGCAGTCACCCCCCCCCCCCCAAGCTCCACCTCCACCAAACGTCTTTCACGGATCAAGTCATTGGCGAGTCACATGTGGCCACACAAAATATGATAGAGTTCCAGTTAGGGCGAAGAAGGTCAAGACAGTTCAGAAAGTAGGGCGAAAGTTAACTGTTACCAGAAATTGTATCGAACTTTTCCGTCTTTCTACTTAAATGTAGGATCCTTCTCAGCTCAGGTTGGTCATGACGGGCAGTATCGAAGCAGCCCGCCTCCTAAAAGTTTGAGATGCTTCGAAAGGGGCTTAAAACATCTACAATTATAGACATATACATAACACAAAAGCGCCCGTCATCGTATAGACTCGACACCCTGCTGAAGCATGCAAAGTTCAAAGTTTAAATGGCAAACTGACAAGCTCTTTTTTGGTCATTAATTTATTACGGTCATAAGCCATAATTGGTATAACGGCACCGATAGACACGTTTAGAGTTCAGCGCCATCTTGTACTAACTTTACTTTTTTTTTTTTTTCCAGAGATGACGAAACTCACTTTGAACGTCGTTCTGAATTCCAGTCGCGAACACGTGAGATGGAACCAAATGACACTGAAATTTGACTGAACAAGGACATTATCTGTAAAAATAAACTGGGGCTTAATTGAAAGGAAGATTTTTAACAGCTTCAACAGCTGTGGCAAAAAGCTCCCGAATATCGGATATTTGGGTTAATACAAGATGCACTCAGCAAAGCGACATTCACTGTAGGATGGTTTTATATACCAGCACAGCCTGATTCATCGTCTGTATATAATAATATTATTGTTATTTACAGACGGCTAAAACAATATGCGGGGGTTCGGGGTTTGAATCCTTGTGTGGTTGGGGTGTTCACGTCCAGAGGGGGGGGGGG